GGTCACGGGTCGGCCCGCGGTTCCGATTTTCACGGGTCGGTTTTCACAGGTCATGGCCGGCCCGTCCGTCTTGACACTTCTAACTGCCCCTGTCCAGGAAGCATTATTCAAACAGGCAGTGTGAACATTGACTGCCGAGGCACTCAGAAAACGTATTCATAAATCAATGATGATCCCACCCCTCTCTCCAAGAAAATTCGTTTTTTCGTCCCTTGGACTCCCTGCTTTCCAGTACTATATATAGATCCTAAACAAAGATCAATATCGTTAATTGTTAAGAGCTTTTCTATCTTAATTTGAGTGTGTAAATGAAGAAAATGGAAACGTGTAAGTCCAGAACAAGTTCTGCTTCATCTCGGACCCCAAAAATTGAAAGAAAATTTGTCGAGAAGGACAGAAGAAATCGGATGAAGACTCTCTACTCTAACCTCCTCTCCATCCTCCCAGATCATGGCTACAAGGTACCTCTCTCATCTTTCTCTCTCACACACCTGGTTAGAATTAAACTATCAGCTCATTAAAAAACGTCAACCTATTTGTGTAACATCTTAGGGTTAAATCCAGTTACACCTCTTAATAAAATTTACCTTTTAAAAAGAAACCTCAAATCTTAATATAACAAACATGCACTTAACATATCGATGTATGTGTAAATGCAGAAGGCGATGAATTTACCTGATCAAGTAGATGAAGTTGTGGCATACATCGAGAACTTGAAGATTAATGTGGAGAAGATGAAGAGGAAGAAGGAGTTCTTGTTGGCAAGAAAAAGACCCAATTCTTGTATTACAAGTGAAATTCAAGCCTACACACAGACTTCAACGCCATTTGTTGAAGTTCACAATATGGGACCAAATATGGATGTTATTTTTGTTAGTGGACTAGATGATTTATCAAAATTTTACAGCATACTTCACTTGCTTCATGAAGATGGTATCGAAGTTGCCAATGCAAATTTTTCCTTACATGGAAATTCCACTATCCAAACTCTCCATGACAAGGTCCTTATACACTGTATAACCCTTTTTAAAACTTAATCACATCCCTTTTGTCTGCCTATCTAATTTAAATTTCGATTTTGGCTTATACTTTTTTAGGTTGGGAAGTCAAGAATGGGAGTCGGAGCCACGACAATGTCAAGAAGACTCAAGGATTTGATTTGTGGATCCACATGCAGCGAAGTAGAGTCATTTGATTTATGGGATTCTGATTTCCAATCAGATATTTGCGGATTTGGAATTCAAGAATTATTTGAACCTTACACGAGTTGGAATGTTGGCTATGGTTATGAAAACATGTGACTTTTTTTATGGAGAACTGAAGACAAACAACAAATGTAACCTACTCAAGGAAAATCTTGTGGCTGTAACGTAGTGATCTAGCCAATAAGGTACCCCATGAGAGGGTCGTCTTCAGTCCCATTAAAGTTGATAGTGCCTTGTCTAAAGTCACGGGTCATTATTTTCGAAGTTATTACCTAGTGATATTATGGAGATATTGTACTCAATCAGTTCATGGCGCGAGTTAGCTTTGCGTTCTACTTATGATAGGATAATACTGAATAAAGAAAGTAAGAATTGAGTTAAGGCTACACGTGCTCCTTTGTCTATTTAAATTTTATTCAATAAACATGGTAAGGATAGCTAGTGCCAAACCCTCGTTGGAATTTGGGTGGAGACAAATAAACCACTCTTAAACGTCCTCGGTGTTTTATCCAAAAAAAAAAAATTCTAGTGAGAAAATTATTTTGCTATTGGTTATACTTTTTACCAATTTGCTATATTATGTTTTAGCATGTTTGGCCGAGCTTAAAAAAGTCTGCTTTTATGCCCCTCTTTGGTTCGGTTAAAAAAACTGATTAAAATCTCAGTCAAAATCAATAATTAATTTTACCTACACATTTTATATAATCCACAACTTTTCAACCACACATTCAATCAAATTTTATTAAATTTGCTAAAAATCTGATTTTAATTTCTACCAAATATGAGCTACATAAATTTAATTGAATGTAGAAATAGTAGGTTCCAAAACAAATAAATTTATTGATAAAAGTTGAATATAAGTTGAAGTTAAGGCCTACATTGGAAGAAAGTAACTTCTTTTTACTAAAATAAATAAATAAATTGTAAGTTATTCTAATATTAACCTTTTAAATATATTTACTTGATCTAAGTATATATGAATGACTATATTTATAAAGTAATTTTTTAAATTTCTGGTCCGGCATGGTTGATGTAAAGCCTCGACAATTTTCATAGAATATAATTAGTTTTCATATTCAAACGGTTATTTTCTGGGATCGACCGGTACTGAACCAGACGTCCGAATGGGTCGTCCGATTTGGCAGAAAAGTTGGATTTTTTGCTCTTATAAATATCAACTCATTTGTCATTCAAAATGTATAGAAGAGAGCATTAAAGTGAGATTCCTTTGAGCAAAATAGTATTGATTTCTCATCCTATTTATTATTATCAAATCACTTTGCTTTGAAAAACTTTTGATTAAATCAATTCCTGAAAATCATTCAACACATCAAAAATCTAACATTTGAACTTCACTCATTGTCATCTATTAAAGTGTTAGCTTATTTCTCTCTTAATACTTAATCGTGATCATATCATTTATCAAGAGAGAAAATTATCAATTTGTAAGTTCAATTATCTTTAACCTTGTGGGTCGTGTTGAGATCCCGAGAAGCTCAACATTGTAAAAGGATCGACGTTCCTTTCTTGTAAGTCACCGAAAGCGTTGTAAAAAATTAGATTGTACAACAAGTTAATCAACACAATGAAATTAGCCTTACTCGTGTCGGAGAGTTTGGTAACGGAGGATATAGATGATTGCGTTGAATTGAACCTCCATAATTATATCGTTTGCACTCTCTATCTCTCTCCATTTATTGCTTTCATATTTGTGTTTGTTATTTGAATCAATCTATTTAGTTATTACGTGTTTGATTTTAAGTTAATTCTTCGAAAAAGTTTTAAAAATCAATTCACCACCTCTTAAATAACTAGTCTTGGGCTATCATATCGCTCAAGTGATAGTTTTGCCGCTAGCAGGGCGCTAGCCGGCCACTCGAGTGGCAGTGTTAACTAATTTTAGACAGCAATTTTTCATTCATTTGGAATTGATTTTGAGATTTTGAATATACTACGACGATCTACTCAACAAGTAGAACAAGTTAATTTATGTTTGTAATTTGACCATCATATCAAATCCGAATATTTAACTGAAATTGATACACAGTCACTTTTTAAGTTTATACTTAACCAAAATTTTCAATCTTTAAACCAAGTTCCAACACATTCAAACCAAGACACTTGTATGAAATTCATTACTCAATTACTCTATAATTATCGTATTTGTGGTGTCTTTATTCGTTAAATATGAAGACCTCTATTTGTAGTCTAAAATGTGCAATATTCAAATCGTAGTAATTATAAATTGATACTATGCGCTTTTGAAAAAGCAAGGCGTGTTAATAAATTCACAAAATCTGATATTGCATGCGCCTAAATTAAATTCATAAAACGAGTGAAAATAAAGATGGCAAAACTTTTTCTTCTTACAATTGACCATCACATGCACATTTCAATATTTTCAACGACCTTGAGCTCGATATTAGGATCGAGAAGAAAAATTGACATCAATGCTTGGTTGATGAATGCCATTGCAAGAAAAACACGAATTAATTACAGCTAAAGTCTCACGGTATGTATGCCATAGCCGGCGGCTAGACAACAACAACATGTGCTTCCAAGTAATATATACAAAGATTATGACGGGAAAAACATCAAAAATCGATTAATTGACATATATACACACAAAGAACACTTCAGGGAATAAAATTGAAAAAATGGAAAGTGACAATTTTTTTTTTAATAGTTCGAATTATAATTTTATTTGTTTTGGACTAATTCTGAATATTAGGACTTTCAATTAATTCATTATCTTTTAGTTTTAATAATTACCTAGATTTTAGTGATTGTCGAGTTCTTTGTAATTATTTAGATTCCAGTTATTTCTTTAAATAGGGGTTGTAAGTTATCATGACAATTAGTTGTTTTGGAATAAATACTATACTATAGAATTTGAAGTTTTTCAAATCTCTTAATTCTGGGTATTTGATTTTAAAAATCAACGAGTCCAAATTCTCTGTATTCATACGCAAATTAAAGAGTTTTTTATGCCTAGTATTCTTAGAATCAACATAAACTAGAATGTGATTGCGTTGTGGTATTCGTCTAGAATCAACGACACGTCGATAGTATGTTCGATCATTATATTTACACCACTGTGCTACATTAGAAGGCCTTTGTGATTATCTTGTCTTCTGATTTGGAGATTAGCCACGTGACCATTCTATGTATGTAGTCATCACTGAAATATTGTATAAAATCCATTAATTTTAGTAATATAACAAGACGCAGTGGCTACTTGTGCAATAAAATTGATGGTGAGTGATCTAATTGAAACAAATGGAAAGTTGAGTGAACAAAAAAGTGATTTATCCTATTTGTGATACCCTGGAAATAAGCCACAGGCGTTGTTACGATCCAACATCTATGTCCAAATTGTTAACTTATGTAAGTCTGTGTTCTGACAGAGTACTTTACCCTCACAAATTTCTATCGCATTCCCAAGATTCGAATTATAGGGGATGCGATAGAAAATCGTGAGAAATGAGATGGGCTACTCTTCTAAAGTAGACCACACGTAAGAGAACGATTGGATCCGAGACTTGAATTGTTACATGCGTTCTTGTTGATGTCTGCACGAGAAATTGTATTTATTTGACTTTTGAAATATTGTGTTAAAATTTTGCGTGCACGCCATAGCAGAGAAAGTCTTCATGATGCAGAAAAATCATACTACAGTTTTTGTTTTTTTTTTTGGCTCAATTGTACTAAAATTGTCTCGTTCAATCATTTTTCTTAAATGTCAAGTCAAATTGGAGGAGCTAGCCGAAATAATGCATTATTGAAGGGTATCGACGAGCGGTTTATCTTGAATTATTTGTGTTGATCTTTTGAAATTTAAAAGAAAACGATTGATAAGATTGAAAATTGAAGTCGCGAATTTCTATCGTCGTAATCAGTAACTAGCTTTTTTATTTTATTTTTCTCAAATTAGTAATAGTGGTTCGAATAAAAATGGCAAAACTTTTTTCGTCTATATACAAGAATGATCTACTGAGTATCGATGCTCATCTTATATTAAGTATCGGTGACGTGCCAACATTTTAATTGTGGGGTTATAATTGAATTAATTTAAAACGTGCAAAATACATCAAGAATGAGTCCTACATGCTTAAATATACACGAGTCACAAGAAGGAGAAAATGGGAGAAGAAAATTGCGTCATATATATGAACACTGTTTGAGGAGGATACAAGATGTTAGATTACATTACACACACCCAATTCGATTGAAAGACTTGTCTAGAAACCATATCGTCAGAAACTATTAAAAAAATATTAATTATATAATCTGTTTGGTAGGGATTAAGATCTATGATTAATATTAACCACATATAATTGGATCCACAACTTTTTAAACTATCCAAGTTAACATTTAACAATATCACGTAAGATTTTTATTAAACGTTTTCAGCGTTTCCAGTCGAGTGACTGTTACGTAATCATTATAAACTTGAGTGAGCACTACTATAAAAAAAAAAAAAAATACTTCGAGGACCATACCGTTTCAATATTCTAATAAACTTCTTTGACCATTTCTAAAATTAATCCATATATTTAATTTATTTATAAATATTTAAAATAAGAACTAGGATAAATTGTAGGATTTGTAATTTATATTGCACTGCAGACTTTAAGTTTATTCAACTTGTATTGGTCCTTGTGGGTATCCAGGTTGTAAAATTTTATGATCCATTCGCTCTCTTTGTGGATAAGCCACAGGCACAGGGCTATACCATTATCACCTGCCAAATTAGCAAATTCAAACTTCAGCAAATTCAAAATTTAAATTTCAATCGATAACAAACGTGATTTTAAAAAAAAAAAAAAATTGAATCTCAAAAGTTGGGGGGCACCTGCCCCCCAGGACCCCCTTGGGTCCGCCCATGGATATGGTTAAAATTCAAGTCAAAATGGTGTTACTGAAAGTTAAGGAACCAAGCATAATTTGAGCGCGGGAAGGTGAACGACTAATTAAATAGATCCATACAGCGTCTTTGGGACCGAGTGTTCAGTTTTTTCTGAAAGACAATAAATTGGAAGAAAATTATGGAATGCAGTGCTTGGAAGGAAAATGAGCATGCATAGAAAGAACAA